GCAAATAGGTGGTCCATCTAAAAACAATTGAACTAAAGGTCCAAATGTTTTCTTAATAGAATTATTATTTTTAAGTTTCAAATTTTATTTATTTATTTTATATTCATGATCACCATGTTAGAGATCACATGTCCTAAAAAATTAGGTCCAAAAATCCATCTCAAAAATAGATTTTTAAGAGGTGACTCATTTCTACATGCAGTCATAGAAACCGTGTCCTTTATTTATAGTTAGAGTCATTTATTTTAAAAGTAACTTAAGTTAGGACATATGGGTTAATTTGTTATTTGTATGGACCATTATTGTCTTTTGAACATTAAAAGGAATGTAAATGTGGTAGGTGGGGGCTGCAGGCACATTCATGTGACTCTATTTCAGAAAAAGGAAAAGCCCTAGCTGTTTTAAACCATACCTGGATTAGGGAAGAAACCCTATGTTTCTTCTAATTAAATCTTGTGTATGGCTTGATTTCTTGCTGATTTTTACTGTTTTATTCAAATTTCGTAAACAAATTTGGTATCGGAGCTCAGGCTTTCTTCAACAACAAGGCCATGAAACGACAACTGTTCTAAGTTTTGCTAATTTTGGGCCAAGTTTTGCCAAATTCAGCCTAGATTGTACTGATTTCACCGAGGTTTTGTTGATTCTCTTCGTAGGTTTTATGATTTAGGCAAACCCATGACAACGAGAAGGGACTGTGGGAGGGGGTTTTTCGAAGACCCACTTTGTGACCCTAGATATGAGGCAATTGAAGACCTCAGAAGGCAAGCTTAGCTGCTGGAGCTGTAGTTTGCAAGTATCAACCACGGGCAAGAAGGTAATCTGTAATTCCAAGAAGATCTCAAATATAACCTTTTTCACCATCATGCTCCATGGGTGAAGGTGAGTGATGAGGACAACAATGAAAGGCCTAGATGTGGAAGACACTATTCCACGATTTTCGAGAAGGTGGGTATTCCTGATTTGATGGTAAGCTTCAACCCAAGGAGTTATATAGATTGGCTAAATATTGTAGAAATGGTTTTTTTTTACAATGAGGTTCATGAGAATTAAAAATTAAGAATTATTGCCCCCAAAATTTATACTTGGGAGAAGACTAAAAAGAAATTAAATGAAAAATTCTTACGCGAAAAATTATCTGCAATCCCTTTATCATAGGATTTGTAACCTCTGTTAGGGAGAAAATAGTGTAGACGAGTATATCGATGAATTTTATCAATTTATGGCTTGTAGTGGTGTGGTTGAAAGAAGGGAACAGTCTCTAGCTTGCTATGTTGTTGGGTTGAGAACATCTATACAAGATGTGACGGTTTTATAACGTTAGTGGACCTTAGATTAAGCTTACACCCTAGCAGTTAAGGTTAAAGCTCAATAGAGGCTCCGATCATCAAGGTGGGGCGCAGGCTTGGGTGGTGCAAGTGGTCGTGGAAGTGTTTTAGAGGGAAACATGGAAAATTTGGTTGTTGGACAGTCCTCATTGCCTGTTGATTCGTCCAAGTTGCGGGATAGTTTGGGTGTTGGGAGAAGTTCTAGTCGCTTGAATCACTCAAACAACAACATCATTAAGTCCTCTTAAGTGTTTGGGGGATCGGACACGTCTCATCTTAGTGCCTGAATAGAAAATTTGTGCACCTTGCTAAGGAGTTTCTGGAAATGGACAGGAAGCTATCATTTGATGGAGACCCTGTTCTTGATGGGGAAACTGAGGAAGAAGAGCCTGAACTGATATTTAGCGACCATGAGGAGGCTTTGATGATCCAGCGCAGCATGATTACACCCCAAGTGGTAGATGTGGAACTGGGAAGGGAGTTTCTTCCCAAAATCCTTGATGATTGGTGTGATTTCATGGGTAATTGATTCTTTGATGAGGTTCTTATCTTTGATGATGATTTGGTGGGTGATATTATCTACGAATGACAACAAGATGAAGGCAAGGATGATCAAGGAGATGACTGTGGTAGTAAGTGCGTTGTTTCTTTGATGTCTTGCCTAAATATGGGGTATTATATGAGGTGTGCCCTAAGGATTTGGTAATATTTTCCTATGAGATTTTTGCTAGTAAGTTCAATACAGAATATGCCCATTGAATTGTTGATTATGTGATTCGCAATGTTGGGGTTCAACTTTAGCCATTGTTTTTGTTTTGAGCAATGAACTGTTATATCTAATCACTATGTGCGAGCTGAAGGAAATCTCGGGGGTAATGTAGCATTAATCTTGAACTGCTTTGAAGTTCGTTGTAGAGTATTCTCCGATGTCTTCAGGACCAACTATTTACTACAAGTATGGAAATTCTCAATGGCCCCAAAACGTGGTTTATCCAATGTCTATATGGGATACAGTAACATGACACACCTTGATCTCAAGTCTCGTTAATATGGGAGGTCGGGTGATGGTGTACCTTAAGAAGGGGAGGCATCTAGCAAGCAAATACAACAAGTTGAATGATCGCAATGGAGAACCATTCAAGATTTTGAAGAAGATGGACAACATAGTTACAAGGTCACTTTGCCTTCACATATGGAGACTTCGAACATCTTCTACGTCAATGATTTATCTGAGTATCATGGGCTAGAGATGGATGGAGATGAAGGTTTTAACTCGAGGGTGAGTTCTCCTCAACCTTAGGTGATTGATGATGCACAAAGTGCATCAAGTGGACTTAGTGACCATTATCCTCGATGGGAGCAGCAAATTCCCTGCAATTCTCATGCATATTTGGAGGATGTAGGAGGGCTTCCAAGAAGAATAAGAAGAGCACGCCTTGCTTGCGATGATTTCTTAGTTATTTTAGGGTTGTTGTTAGTCATTTTTAATTATCAGAACAGTTAGGACTTTTTCAGAACAGTTAGGACTTTTTGATAATCTTATTTGTAATTAGTCACTGAGCAAGGGTAAATTTGAAACTGTACAAAAGTATAATGATATTTTGAAAGTTAGTGTTCTAGAACTTTATTTGTAGCATACGCTTGTCCTTTAATGAAAAGTTCAATTTGACCCCTTATAAAGATGACAAACGTACCTTTTGTTTTTTAGTGATATTTACATACACACCCTTACTTGATGAACAAGATACCATAAAAAGTAATTTTTTTACAAAAGAAACAACATAGTTAATAAATCCACCCTTCACAACTCATTCTAATATTAACTTCTGTATTTTGAATTGTTGTGAATTGTAGAATATCCCATACATACATATACATATATATTGACAAACAGATTAACGAGAAAAACATTTCTCAAGAAAAGGTTTTTCTCGTTCTTATGTTTGCCAAAAAATCAGGTATGTTTGTCTCCTATATTAGTTCATGTTCTTGCTCGCTAGAAACCCCATCTTCAAAATAGTTGTCTTATTGATCTCCAAAATCCCTTCCTCATTACTGTGTCTAAAGCTTTGAAGCTCTGGAATTAGGGCTATATTCTTACCTCCCCTTGGGTTCTCCTGGATGGGGTTTAATTTTCAAGCCCTAGTTAGGATTTCGTTCTCCTTTCTGGTTAGTTATGGTGATTAAGTTCGGGGTATCATGTTATCCATGGTATAGGGTTGTGTGTTCTTCTGTAGTTAGGGTTTCAATTTCATTGTACTATATTATGATGTTAGCTCTGATTCTTTTAAGATATTGGAGCTTTGGAGGAGTGAAACGAAATAGCTCTTCCCCCTTCTGCAATTCTTCCCCCAAACTAGATGAATAATAGCTTTAGATCTTCACAATGGTTGTCGTAGTGTCATGGCACATTTTTTCCTCTCTCTACTGGTTCATATTTTTCTCTCTCTGCTGGTTCGAGAGGGGCTTTTTCATCTTGCTACTTGTTCAGAAGAGGGGCTCGACAAAGTGAGGGGCTTGAAAGAGGGGTCAAAGAGGGTGGAAAAATAAAAGGAGGGAAGGGCGCTACCCCTTTAGGTGGAGAGCCATTTTCCAAATATAAGCAATGTAAGAAAGTTTTTTTTCCTCTCCTACTTATCTAAAGTGAATTGCCTTTTTCCATAAAACAAATGTGCAAAAACCTTGTTTTCCAGGAAAATGTTATCTGACATACCATTATCTTGAAAAACAAACAAGCGCTTTTTTAAATTTCCTGAATGACTAATGGAAGGCCCTCTTAGAATAACAAATATCTGAGGCCATATGGTCTGCCGATTTTTGTAGACCTTGTCAACATCTACAGGATTTAATCTGAAATCCTTGAGATTATGAATCTCTACTAATGACATATTTATCTCCCTAGCTATTGCTGTGCTGGAGGTTTGCTACTCTTGTCTGTGCATATTGGTGCTTTTATCCATTTGTGTCTTGCATTTTTCTGATTTTATCAATAGTTCTTACTTTTTTGGCTATTAAAGCACCACGATTAAATAAACATTAGTAAATATTTTAGGTCAAAATGGTTGCTAAGTCTTCTGATATTAAATGGACATTCATGAGGAATTTGATAGTTTGTTTCTACTCTCATATTGGGCCATATGGGACTACTAGAGAGTTTTAGTTATTGTATTTAAACCTTTAGTAACTTATGGCTTGAAGGTAGCTGGTGCAGGGGTATCAGTTTTCTGATCTACCTAACGTAGGCATCAATTGGCTGAGTGTGGCAGTGTGATTGTGAAGTTTCAGATTTCTCCTTTAACCCCCAAAAGAGTAATCATGGATGTTTAATGTTGCTTTATAATTGTGTGATGGCAGTTCTCTATTAAGAATTGATGCTCCTAACTAGCAAACCATGGACGGTATCTGACTAGACAATGCTCGTGTTTATCACAACATTTTCTATTCGATCACTTAATGATATCTGGCATCTGCATTTGTTTAGATCTTAGCATTATGACTGCAATATACTGTTGCGTCATTGTGGCTCTTAAAGAAGGTTTCATATTTTGTCTTGGCCAATTCGTGAAGATTGTTCATTGTATCTTGATTTTGCTTCCTAGGTCATCTCAATGAGAAGTTTGAGATTAGTCTTCACGTAGTGAACCTTTAACAAAATTTTTCATTTTTCTGTAGGTATTCCCTACACCCTAAGCCGCTCCGGAAGACCTGCTATTTTTGCACGTGATCCAGATGGGAATGCACTTGAATTCACTCAAATTGACTGATGCTCACAACTAACACTGGGTATGAGCACATGACAGATGCACAAGAAGAAATATGTAAACTTGAAGGTTAACCAGGAGTGTCTTCTACGTACATAATTATTCATGTAATGCAATGTCACTGAGTTTCAGGATATCTACTCAATGGTTCCATTGAAATATCCAATATATTCCCAATTTGTTTAGGTTTTGACTATTACCTCCACTGCTGCCACGAGCAGCAATTCCACCATTACTACAACTGATACTACTGGTAATACTACTATGTTGATGATAACCTTGAATAAAATAGGGGTAATTTTTGCAGCTTCGGGGTGTGAACACACATTTGTCTATATTAGAGTTTGAAATGATGATTAGATTTAGATGCTCTAGACTCACTAGATTTAGAAAGTTTCTTGCCAGACTCGAGAGTTTTGATGGGGCCACCATCCTCATTTTTGGGAGAAAAAAATGAAACAACTACAACAAACAGGCTCGAGGGTCATACTTATTTAATTATGAAAGTAGTGAGGATTGTTTCAATAATGTTATCAACTTCTTTTTCGGATTTTAAATCCAACATATTCGGTAAGAATACGATAAGTCTGTATTAAGATTCATGAAATGAAAATCATGGCATCAAGGGGATGGGCTGTTATTGTTAACCGCTAGATGTACCCAAAACTTTTTGGAATCATCAGCCAAAAATTTAGGGAAACGCACTTTGTGCTATTTGGACAGCCACAAGCTTTTTATACTAAAGAATAAAAATCTTTCTTGGCAAGGCAAAAACGCAGCCCAGAAAAACTTGAAGTTTTATGGACCCCGTCCAATAGTTTTGGTGAAGATATCTGCAAGTTGATCATTAGACTTCACATGAGGAGTCTGAATGATCTTGGTGGGAACCTCCTTTCTTATAAAGTGACAGTCTGCTTCAATGTCTATAGTCCTTTCATGAAAAGTAGGATTTTTTGCGATATGAATGACTGCTTCATTGTCAAAGTATAAAGTCATGGGAAACTTAACTCTAACACCCAAATCAAGAACACTTTTGATCCACATTACTTTGCATGTATCAAGAGCCATTATTTTGTATTTTGCTTCAACACTTGATCTTGCCACCTCATTTTGCTTCTTGCTTTTTCAAGTAACTAGGTTTCCTAAAATGAAGGTACAATAGCCAGTTGTAGATCTTCTATCAGTTTGGCAACCAGCCCAATCAGCATCTGTGTAAACTGCAACATCAGGATGTCCTTGGTTTTAATTTGTACACCTTGAGGGAGTCCCTGGTACTACTTCATATTCAACTTTTGTTCTTGTTCTTATAACAAATTTTTTCTTCTTGCTCCCAAGGGATGTCAAAATTCTCCAATACCACAATATTCTAAGATTGATTTTTGTGAGTTATGAACTTCTGCCTAGTTAGCATCTGAGTATCCAATAATGGAGGCAATACACGTTAAAAAATAATGCAGGCATATATCTTATATATGATTTCTATAATATTTGATGCCTTGATTAATGATGCCTTTGGCATATTTGAGATACATGCATAAATTGACATACCTGATTTACTGCAAAAGTAATATAAGGAGAGTGAGAATGAGACACTGGAGTGCACATGTCATGCTAGAGTGTTTTTTTCAGGGTCTTCAATTATTTTCCCTTCAGCAGCTCTTAACCTTTTGTTAAGCACTTAAAGTGTGGCAAACATTTTGCAATTCAACATATTACATAGTTCAAGTAAATCTAGAGTGTAGTTATTTAAGACAATCAAATTTTGTCTTGTAGACTCTCCAGCTTATGGTCGCTTCTATATGGTACCAGTTGCTGCTTCATTGAATTTGCTTCAGATCCACTTCTAACCATAGAAAATATCTTAGTTCTGCCGAATATTTCATTCTAAAATTGTCATGGAGAAATCTCTTGATATTTTCCATGAAGTCTGGAGAACTTCCTTCATAATAATATCATTGACATATGAGGGAATAATCACAATACCTCTAGTGTTCATATGAATGAACTGGGAGTGATCCACTGCTGTCCTCATAAATCCAAATGCCTTTATTGCATGACAAAAACTTTGAAAACAGGTTCAAGAGGCTTGCTTTAGACTGCAAATATTAGTTTGCACACATATTTCGAAGGATTCTTTGCATTGAAACCAAGAGGTTGCTCCATTTTTACTTCTTCCTTTAACTCTTCATGAAAGAATGCATTCTTTACATTGAGTTGGATGAGAGACTAATCAATATGTCAGGGCTAACAATAAGACTTCTTGAACAATGATGATTTTAACAACTCCACCAAATGTCTCTTTATAGTCTAAACCATACTGTTGATTGAATCCATTTGCCATTAATCGATCTTTAAATTACTCTATACTTCCGTTTGCCTTGTGTTTTATTTTGCTATCCATTTACTGCTCATAACATTCTTTCCCATTGGCCTCTTCACAATTTCCCATGCATTATTTGGAAAAATTGCCTTCATTTGTTTGGCTATCGTTAGTTGGCAAGTTCCTTTTGTTTAAGGGCTTCAGAGCTAAGTACTTGATAATAATTTGTAAAGCCTTCATTGCTTATTCATCATATACAGGGGGGCATACACAGGTGATCTTTAAACTTTTTGAGTTGTTGCAATATCCTAGGGATTATCTTCTTGGCTCTCTAATGCATCAGCTCCATTACCATGTTTTCCCTACTGGTATATGTGTGGCACCAACCTGCTGCCCTTTATTATCATCTGAGATAAACAATTAACTCCTTGGGAGTAATATTAGCTGATCTTTAGATGGAGGTTCATCATAAAGGTATTCAAAATCTTCTCTGTGGTGATGAGGCACATCCTCATCATGATACGTAGATGATGGTGTTTGCTCAAACTCGAGAAGGCAAATTCATAACATACCTTTTCTAGTTTGGGTGAAAACTAAATAAAATTGAAAATTGAGAATCATTATGGTCCTGCCTAATTATGTTTTACAGTTTAGAGATTTACAATCTCTTTCCTGTAAGCTGCCACTAAGATTGGCTAGACGTTACTCCAAAATCACTTCTTATAAGAATTTGAAATAAAAGAAATAAAGAAATTTCCTATTAGAAGTTAAAATCCAAAACAAAAAGAATAATCAAATAATGTAAACAGGGAGGAACCATGGAAAACTTACGATACTGGGCACATAAGCCTGACACCAAGAGTTGGGGCTTGGATCACACTTTGTTAATATTTATTGAGTCCTCGACCAGCTTGAGGATTTGCTTGAAGTGAATATTGGGCTACATATTTGATTGAACTTCAAGGGTTTTAGATGGGATTGGTGAGCCTAGTGATTAGATATATGGTTTCTAGGCTTGACCTAATAGTTTCTAGGGTTTTTAGGTTGACTAGGCTTTGGTAACCTAAGCCAGGGATCTAAGGTTGTATTGAACTCTCTAGAATTAGGTTTAGGTTGAGCTATCCCAAAATTAGGGTTTTATCTTAGGCTACGGTTTTGTATCTCTCTCTGACTATTGTCAATATTGTTTGATGCCTTGGGCTGAGATACAAAGGGATTTTTATACGTTAAAAAATTGGATATACTACTTCCATTGGGATTAGAAGTTCCTACAATCTCGCCCCACAAAATTTGGGGTCAATCTTGCACATGGTTTATTTGCCACTGCCCTGCATCGTGGGTAAACCGTAGCTCTGTTTGCCTTCGAATTTGTTGGTACCTTTCCTTGGTACTTTAAGGGACTGCTTGATAAATAGAAGATAAATGCTCTTTGGAAATTGGAAGTTTTTTTTAGTTGGAAAAAAAGAAGTTACTACAAGAAGTTCTGAGTTTCTGTGTTTGATAGCCTACTAGAATGTTAAAAAGTTCAAAGTATATGTGTTTGACAATGTGCTGGAAGATTTAGAAAGTTCTAAAAAACGAATTACATATTATTCATTATTCAAGTATACACATATTTTCATAATTTCCTTAAAAACAATATGATTTATTCATTTATGCATTCAAAGCATCTAAATGACTATTCACTTTAGCAACCTATTCAACCATTAACATCAATTGCAATCAAGCCCACCATTATCTAAAAAATGAGTCATACAATATTTATTACTCAAGTATGCACGTATTTTCATAATTTCTCCCAAAACAATCTGATTTCTTCATTTATGCATTCAAAGCATCTAATTGACTATTCACTTCAGTAACCTATTTAGCCATTAACATCAATTACAACCATATCACTTTTCTTATAACCAACATAGGTATAATCAGTTATAACTGTATCAATACCAATGATATATAGACAGTTTGACCAGATAAAGCCAATCCATTTTCCAAGTATTGAAATATGTTGCAAAAACTTTTCCTTCAAATTTTCTCACTAGACTTCTAAATTTCTAAAACACTTACATAGTACATTGAATTATAAACAATCCCAGCATTTTATCAAGATATAGCTGCATAGACAGTGAATCCTAACAACAAAAGCAAAATTAGGTAGCAAAATTTTCAACTAATTAGATGCATTCATGTTAAATTCATAGGAATTCAAGAGTCATGCCGACATATAACCACCGCCTCTATGGCGCGCCAATTGAACACTAGAGACCCTAAGTTCAGAGAGAAACACTGAAAACTTTGAACTAGATCAAATATTTCTACACTGATAAATAAACCAAAACTATACACCTAAACTTATCCTGAGCCACAATACAAATAAATGGATTGAGATAAGATGATTTGGGTCAACATAAACAAATGATAATATGAAATCTAGGGTTTAGCACGATGATAAAAAAGAGGTCACATGTAAGCACTGAGATGATTCATGAAACAAGCAATTGAAGAAAAAAATAGATTCATTGTTCATGAGAGGATTATATAAAGCTTACTTTATTAAAGAAGAAGGACAAAAAACCAGGATTTGGGGTTTTCAATGTGAGCCCGAGCTCTAATGGAGAACACTAAAGAAGGAACCATGCAAGAAGAATGATAGAAGACCAGGATCTAGGCTGGCGAGGTTTGTGATGAGGGAGGGGAGGTCTGCGAAGAAGAGGGAGGCAATGACGAGGTCTGTGAAGAAGTAGGCAAGGTTTGCGAGAAGACGGAGGCAAGTAGGCGTAAAGAAATTGGGGCAAATGTTATCGGGGCCTTGAACTATTTTTACATGGGGAGGAAATTCTTTTTTTACGTTCTATGGTTTTCCACGAAACTTTTTTTTAGCCTAAAGAGGGGAAGATCAACAATATTATGAAGTTCTTATTACAAGTTACATTCTTTTTATCAAACATGAAACATGTATAGTAATAGATAAGTTCCTTCTTCCTCT